CCCCAAAACCCCAAAACCCCAAAACCCCTAGAGCATTTTTTTAAAGAATTTCAACGAGATTAAAGAATAGAATTAAAGAGATTATCGATCGTTGTATTAATCTTATATTTTTAGCACAATGAATGATAATCAAAAACATAATCATGACTCTGCATCAAGTGAACATCAAAATGACTCTGACCATGAAAAGAGTAAATATAATTTTATCTTAATATTTCAATTCAAAGATACTCAGAACAACTTACCGTCGCATGATAAAGAAAGGCAGAAAGCTTAAAAAAGGTAAAGAGAAAAAAAGAAATTGAGACTGAAGAAGCTCTTAAAAGAGAAGCTAGGACTGGATAATATAACTGATCTCTAGCTGGCATCTAATTTCGGAAGCAATTTTGATGTTTATTATCAGGGCTAAAATGATCCAAAGAAAAGAGCCTAGGATGATGATATATAGTTGATTGACAACAAAGTAGGTAGTTTGTTGAGACAGCAATTGTAGACCACAACTAAGAGGATATAGCTTATTAGAGATAATTCTCCTACTAAAATACCCCAAAATAATAATCATAAAAAAGAGTTATCTATCTAGAATCTCAATAATTTAGAACCAAGAACAGACGATAATAGTCCATAAATTAGGGATTATTCAAATACCATTGAAAATGCTGAGACGATTTAGCCAAAACCTTCACACAATCAAGCCTCAGTCGAAGGTTAATTCATTTTTGCTGAACCTTAGAATTTTGCCTAGACTTAACGAATAGCACTCTCAAATTTCAATTCATTATTTAAGTTAAAAGGATTGCTTGGTAATGGAGCTTTTGGAGTGGTTGTACTAGTGAAGAATAAGCAAACTCTTGAGTATTCAGCACTAAAAATAATCAATAAATAGAAGCTTTCAAATCAAGCAATTGAAATCTTGAAAAATGAATCCCTAGTATTACAATCTCTAAATCATGAAAACATTGTAAAATTCAAGCATATATTTGAAACCAGCAATTATATTATGATAGAAATGGAATATGTGAAGGGAGGCTAGATAAAAAAACTTTATGATCGCTATCCAGAGCTAACAGAGAGAGATGTCAGTCAGGTGATAAAAAATATTCTTGAGGGTGTAAATTACATCCACGAGAGAGATTATATCCACAGAGATTTGAAACCAGAGAATATATTGCTATCAGATCGAAAAAGCCTTAACATTAAAATTGTAGATTTTGGACTGAGTGCAGTCCATAAGGTTCTATCTTCTGACTAGAATGATGAGAAAGTTGGTACCCTCATATATATGGCACCCGAACAAGCCAGCTTCTAAACTTACTCAAAAGTAAGCTAACACCTAAATTCTAATAATGTTGTAGAGAATAGACATATGGGCAGTGGGAATCATAATGTACCAAATAATGAGCAAAGGAAAGCATCCTATGTATAACAAAGAGATGAATTATTATGATTATCTTATGAAGCTTAGAGCAATAAAGGAAAAAATTGGACCTATCAATTGGATTTACCCATCAAACTTTTCAAAGTAAGATTAGATACCATTAGAATTTATTAGATTAGCTATTGATTTCTTCAGTAAGTTATGCAGCTATCCACCCTCAGAAAGATATGATTCAAAGAGTGCACTTAGACATCCTTGGATAACAGGCATTGTTAATGCTGAGATTCCCTTAACATAGAAGCAGTAAATAAAGTATTTCAACTCTGAGTAGGTCTTAAGAAAAATAATGCGCTCAGTTTATTTCTTAGCCCAACAAAGGACAGAAAAACACCAATTTTTCCAAATAGATACAAAAAACTCAAAATTTTAGGAGTATAAAACCTTAATAAAAAATTATGGAAATGACTAGAACAATTCATAGATTTCAACTACTTAAGATTCGAATTTCGAAACTTATTCAAGAGATTAGTAGAATTAATTGGGTTAATTAGACTCTGATAAATATGAATCTACAAATCCTGTATTTAATGCTTAGAACATATAGCTCTTACCAGGAAGGCTAGGGCAGAAATTTACATTGAATACAAATATCCAAAACTAATTGAGGAAAAGGCAATCCTCCTCTATCAAAAAGAAAAAGGAAAATGCTTTAAAAAACCATGTTATTACTAGGAATACTGAATTTAAAGAGGAAGAAACCTAGGCAGCAGTTGAGGAGAAGAATTTTCTTATCAAAAGTCCTTAGCAACTAAACAAGCTAAAAACAAATCCAGCTCTGATGTAGAAAAATTACAATCAGAGAATCAAAGACAGCGCAAACAGAGGAGAAGTAAAATATCTGCATGACTTTGAATCTAATTAACATTAGTAGTCAATATCATCAAACTAGCAAAAAATTCAGCTTATGACTCCTCAAATCAATAAATTTAGCTCTAAACATGATGAATTTTATAGCGGAGATTAGCATCAATTTAAAAAGTAAAATTTAAATCACAGTCTTCTTAAATAAAGAACTACTGCTAATTAATTTTCTCAGGGCACTCTGCATAATGAGTTTGAAAACTTAGCTAACATTAGTCTAAGATAGAACAACCAGACATTGCCTTATGAGAATATGGCTGAAGAAAGGTAGTAATCCTCAGCATAGTCAACTATTGATTATAAGCAGGAATCAAAGAACATTAAGTTGATGAGTCCTAACTATGAAATGATACTTGAAGAGGAAGAAAACTTTTCATTGACTATGTCTAATTTTCCAGGCCAAAATGTGGATCTAGTACCAAGACCTAGAAGTTGAGGGTAGAGAAAACAAACTCTATTGATTTAAAATCAACACAGAGAGAGGATTGAAGATTTTTAGATGAATAAAACTAGGAAGAATTCTTTGATGGCTGCTGATCCTTATTAACTTAATCTAAATCAGTAAAAGAATAATGTTTTCGCTGAGGAAAACGATGAGTATTATTCAAGTTCTAACAGCTAAGGACAAAATATCCTCAATAATTCCTAGAATCTTGAAATAACTAAAAAGCCCTAAAGTAAGTTAACTGTTAACGCCAGAGATCATGCAAATTTCACATTTGGAATAAAGGTTGGGAAACCTAGCAAGACAAGTTACGTTTAAAAATCTTATAATTCGAATCAGAGTAAGCAGAACGTGTATAGCAATATGAGTACAAACATTAATTAAGTAAACAACAACTTTGCGTCAAGCGGAAATAAAAAGTAGCAAAATCTAATTAGTTCAGTCTTAGTCAACAAGCAAAAAGAAGACAACATGAGTGGATAAGGAGTAACAATTGGAAATAAGCGTCCCTTTGATCAGTAAAAACCTCACAAAATGTATCAAATAAACAAGATTCATGAGATGCTTAAAGGATTTCCTATTCAACCAGTAACATAGCAATTGCCTCAAACTCAAAATCCATATCAATTCCTGAATGATGCACTTAATGTAAGAGGGGTAAGGCGGAATCAGGGTTCGTCGCACATGGGAGGATATTTAATGAATAACGGAGGACTAAGGAACTCGCTAAAATGAGTATTCATTTGCATCGAAGTAAAATGATTACTGTTATTTGCTCTCGTAAGAATGATTATAATCACTATTAATTCCTATTAATAATTATAATATATAAATAAGAAAAATGATTTTGGCAATAATAATGATAGTAATGAAGTGAGTGAGTATATTTAAATATAAGTTGTTAGGATGAGGTCAATTGAAAGAGTACCTGCTTGGATTGACTTAATTTTTAAATATTAGTTTAAATTATAGAAAAGAATATTTCCTTTCTTCCGCAAATGAGATGGGGATGTGATCTCTACTATTTTGCATGATGCTCATACAAGTGGCTTTTGCCCTTTTGGGAGAACTTTGTAGACTGAGAGGTCATCTGATTTGTCGTAGTTGGTTCCGAATCTACCTGGATATCTCATGCATCTATTGCTGCCGTGATGGCCATCATCCTTATCCTTGAGGAGATGCTTAACATCAGCCTCAGCGAAGTCAGAGTTAAGACCGAGCTCCATATCTTCAATTTCCTTTTGAAGAACTGGATCATCATAATAAGCTGATGAATCATCAATAAATCTTTCGTTCAATACTGCCTCAAGAAGGAGATCGAAATCTGACATGATACGGGTGTGGTAACCGTACTTATTCTTGGAGAAGATACTGACGAGTCTGTTGTATGACTCAACTCCCTTCTTATCTTCAGCAGGGGTCTTAGAGAACTGCACTGCGAATTTAATCATGGCGAAGACGGTGAATCCCCATAGGCAAGCCATAACTCTGGAACCTGAGTAGGTCTTGCCAAGTCTCTTGAAGATACCTATGTGGAAGTTGTGGACTCTTGGAGTTCTCATTTTCTTTTGGTACTGGTCGAGCCAAAGATTGTGAGTTCTATAACTTCTCAAGTATTATTGGTCTCTGTTAAGATAAAGGTACCACATTTTATTTTTAATATTATTATTTTACTTGCATTATTAATTAATACAAATGAAATTTCAAACTTCCACTCCCTGCATTCACACTGAGGGGTTTTGGGGTTTTGGGGTTTTGGGG